TGGCTTTGCCATCTCAACAATGGCAGCCAGCGTGCTGGCTTACCCACCTCAACTATGATGGTAGCCAGCGTGCTGGCTTTCCATCTGACAATGGCAGCCAGCAAGCTGGCTTCCACTGCCTGTTGTCACAGGCACGTGTTGTTGAGTTTGTCCCAGACCTACTTCAGGGCGCCGACATTGCGCATCGCAATGCGAGACTAAGAGAAAATCAAAGAACTATGTTCGAGGTGTAGCTTCATCAATTCCACAGCAAAGATCGAAGCATCGAAAACATATCCGAGCCTGCGCGAGACCTATGTCGCTCTTGCGACGGTCGCGTGGCTAGGCCAGAGGGTTAGCTTGAACCATCATGCATGACTCCAGGCTATGTCTTCTGTTATGAATATCACACAGCGTTCTTCTGATGTGCAAGTAAGAAACAACTGAACAGCGCCTGCAACGGTCGCGTGGCTAGGCCAGAGGATCAGCTTGAACCGTCATGCGTGACTGCAGGCTACGTCTTCTGTTGTGAAAATCACACAGTGTTCTTCGGATGTCCAAGAAAGAAACAAGTGAACAACGCATGCGCTGCTGACCTTTCGCCGAGCAAGCTTTGAACCTCTCTCACGTCCCTGTGAGCTCGGTAGCACGGCGTTCACCCCCCAAAGCACTTGCGCAGAACCACGTCCATTCTTCGAGAGGTACTTGTGTCCCACCTCGACTGAAGACTGAGAGGCGTGTGACAAAGAACGAGATTCCTTCTGGTCGATCTTGCGAGCGATATATATTTCTTCTTTTTTGGGATCCCGGACCGAGCTGAGACGTTGCATCCACTCCCCATAAACCTTGTCCAACATGCCAAAACCATAACAGAGCAGCAGAAGACTCCCCAGGACTACTGCGAAAAGAAGTTTTCATGATATTATAGATCTGAAGCTTGTGCGTCGTCTTCGGGATCCCGTGCCTCGCTGAGACGTTGCGTCCGCCCCTCCGAGAAATTCCGCAGAAAGACGTCTATTCCCTGAGAGGTAATTGCATCGGACCTGGCTCAACAAACAAAATAAACAAAGCACTCCCCGGTACGAATGTCAAAGATCTAAAGTTGAATATCAAAGATCTAAAGCTGAATTATTCCTTTTGGCTTCCATGCCTCGCTGAGGCCTTATGTCCACCCGCACAATGAAGTTCCACAGAATGACTTCCCATCCCTGAGCGACCGTTGCGTCGGAAATGCTCCAGACTGCACAGCAACACGCGACACGAAACCAGAGCACTCCCCAACACTATAGCAAAAAGATACTTTCTTCACGCTGTCACTGATCTCCAGCTTATCTAGTCTCTCTGGGATCCCGGACCTCGCTGAGGCGTTGCGTCCACCCCCCAAAGAAATTCCGCAGAATAACGTCCATTCCCTGAAAGGCAATTGCATCGGACCTCGACCAACGTGGAAAACAAAGTATACAACAGTTACTCAGGACTTCCCATCACTATTGTCAACAGAAACTTTCACAAGATCAAAGATCTAAACAACAACCTATACGACATTTCAGAAGATCAAAGATCTAAAGCTTTTGTATGCTCGTTGAGAATCCCCGCCCTCCCTGAGGCGTTGTGACTATCTTCC